GTGGACGCTGGGGATTGATCCGCCGGGCGGGTGGACAAACGACGGGCAACCGGGCTGGTGGGTGACGTGACGGACGAATGACGGACGGATGGACGGATGGTAATGGACGAATTTATTGCACGAACGATGGACGACGGATGACGAACGAACGGTCAGCATCGAACTGGACGATGGACCGCTGGGTGGATAAATGGATGGGTACCGTTGGGTGTGTGGGTGATGTGGATGACACGGATGAATGAAATTGGGTAATGAATGGATGGATGGAAAGCTGCGGATAAACGGATGGCAACTGCTGGGTGCGGGTGACGGGACGGACGGATTTGACGGACGGACGGATGGATGGATGGATGGATGGGCAATGAACGGATGGATGGACGAACGAACGGTCAGCAACGAACGGATGGACGGATCAAGGTTGGGCAAGTGGATTAAACGGATGGGCAATCACAAGCGTGTGGGCGGACGTGGACGGACGGACGGACGGACGGATGGACGGACGGACGGACGGGCAAATGAACGAACGGACGGATTGACGGGATTGGACGGACGACGAACGCAATGGCCGGGCAACGAACGGACGGACGGACTGTCATGGGCGGATAAATGGATGGCAATCGTTGGGTGTGTGGGGAATGGATGTGGATGGATGGATGACTTGATGGATGGATGGATGGATGGATGGATGGATGGATGGATCGGAATGATTGGATGGATGGATGGATGGATGAACGTACGGTCATAATGAACGGATGGATGGATCGTTATGGGTGGATAAACGGATGGGCACTGCTGGGGTGTGTGGGTGGATGTGGATGGATGGATAGATGGATCGGTATCGGATGGATGGATGGATGACGGATGGTGAATGAAATGGATGGATGGACTGTCATTGGCGGATTAAAACGGATGGCACCGCTGGGGTGCGTGGGTGGATGTGGATGGGTAATGATTGGATGGATGGATGGATGGGTAATGGATGGATGGATGGATGGATGAATGAATGGCTGGCAATGAATGGATGAATGGACTGGTTAAGGCGGGGGCGGACAAACGGACGGGCACCGCTGCGTGTGGCGGATTTGGATGGACGGACGGACGGATGAACTACCGGCAACGAACGGACGGGACGGACGGACGACGAACGAAATCGGTCAGTAACGAAACGGATTTACCGGACGATCAACAAAGCAAAACGGACGGGCAACCATCAGCGTGGGTGGACGTGACGGACGGACGGACGGACGGACGGACGGGCAATGGACGGACGGGATGGACGAACGAAATCTACCGGGCAACGAAACGGATTGACGGAAAGCCGCGATTAAACGGACGGCGTCCGCTAAGCGTGTGGGTGACGGGGATTTGGGACGGACGGACGGACGGACGGACGGACGGACGGATGGCAACGAACGGACGGACGGACGAACGAACGGCTGGGCAACGAACGGACGGATGGACTGTTGGGTGGGTGGATAAACGGATGGGCACCGCTATGTGTGGGTGATGTGGATGGATGGATGGATGGATGGATGGATGATGATGGATGAAAATGTATTGCAATGAATGGATGGATGGATGGATGGATGAACGAACGGCTGGGCAACGAACGGACGGATGGACCGGCTGCGGATAAAACGGACGGGCACCTGCTGGGCGTGCGGGTGGACGTGGATGGACGGACGGACGGATTTGATGGATGGATTAGTTTTTGGATGGACGAACGAACGGTCGGGTAACGAATGGATGGATGACCCGTTGCGGGTGGATAAACGGATGGCACTGCTGCGTGTTGGTGGATGCGGATGGATGGATGGACGGATGGATGGATGGACGATTTAGATTGATGAACGGCTGGGCAATGAAACGGATGACGGATGGACGGACGAAACGAAAACTACCGGGCAACGAACGGACGGACGGACGTTGGACGGACGAACGTTCATCGGGCAACGAACGGACGTATGGACCGGTTGGGCGGGTGACAAACGGATGGCAACCGCTGCGTGTGGGTGTGACGTGGATGACGGATGGATCGATGGATGGATGGATTACGGTTTGGATGAATGGCTTGAATCGATGTACGGATGGATGGATGGATGGATGGATGAATGAATGCTTTGGGTATCGAATGGATGGATGGACAACAGCTGGGTGGATAAAAAAATGACGGGAAAACCGCCGGGGCGTGTAAGTGACGTGGATGGACGGATTGACGGATTGAACGAACGATGGCCGGGCAACGGACGAGGAGCGGTCGGGCAACGGACGGATGACGGACGGACGGACGAACGAACGGCTTGGGTAATGGATGGATGCATGACAGCCATGGATAAATGGATGGCACCTTCGTTGGGTGTGTGGGGTGGATGATGTATGGATTGATGGATGGCAATGAATGGATGGATGGATGGATGGATGAATGGCTGGGTAATGGATGATTTGACGGACAGCCGCGGGTAGACGGACGGCACCGCTGCGTGTGGGTGATGTGGATGGACGGATTGACGGACGGCTTGACGGCAACGAACGAACGGACGGACGGACGGATGGACGGACGGACGGAACGTAATGGCTGGGCAAATGAAACGGATTTGACGGACTTCGTTGGGTGGATAAAACGGATGGCACCGCTGGCGTGTGCGGATGTGATTTATTTGACAGATGGACCTGACGGACGGATGGATGGACGGATGGACGGATGGACGGGCAAATGACTGACGGATGGATGGATGGACGAACGCAATGGTCAAGAATGAACGGATGGATGGACTGCTGGCGGGCGGATTAAACGGATGGGCACCGCTGGTGTGGGTGACGTGGATGACGGACAAGGACGGACCTGGATGGGATGGATGGATGGATGGATGGATGGATGGGTAGCGAATGGATGGATGGACTGCTGCGGGTGGATAAATGGGACGGCACCGTTGCGTGTGGGTGGATGTGGATTATTTAATGGATGATGGATGGATGGGTAATGGATGGATGGATGGATGGATGAATCGAACATGGTAATGAATGGATGAATGGAATCGAAATGGTGTGTGGTGGATAAATGGATGGGTACTCGTTGGGTGTGGTGGATGTGGATGGATGGATGGATGGATGAATGGCTGGGTAATGAATGGATGGATGGATGGACGACGAACGAACGGTCATAACGAACGGATTTACCGGACAGTCAGGTGCATAAACGACGGGCACCATTGGGTGGGTGACGTACTTGACGGACGGACGGACGGACGGACGTGGCAACGGACGGACGGACGGGACGAACGAACGGTCGTGGGCATGAACGACGATACGGCGTCGGTGGATTAAACGGACGGCAACCGCTGGGCGTGTGGGCGGACGTGGACGGACGGACGGACGGACGGACGGACGGACGGGCAACGAATGGATGGATGGAATGAATGAATGGTCGAATGAATGGATGGATGGACTGTTGGGTGGGTGGATAAATGGATGGGTACCGCGGTGTGGTGGATGATGGATGGATGGATGGATGGATGGATGGATGGATGGATGGATGAACGGTCGGGCAACGAATGGACGGACGACGGACGGATGAACGAACGGCTGGCAACGAATGGATGACGGACCGCTGGGCGGATAAAACGGGACGGGCACCTGCTGGGCGTGGTGGATGCGGGATGGATGGATGGATGGACGGATGACGGATGACGGATGAACGAACGGTCAAATGAACGGACGGATGGATCTGTTGGGTGGTGATGAAACGGATGGATAACCGCTGGGTGTGTCGGTGACGTGGGATGACGACGGATGGATGGATGGATGCGGAGATCGACGAACGGCTTTGGCAAATGAATGGATGGATGGATGGATGGATGAATGAACGCACGGGCAACGAATGGATGGAATGGATGGATGGATGAATGAATGGTCGGGTAATGAATGGATGTATGGACTCGTTGCGGTGGATAAACGGACGGCCCCCGTTGGGTGTGTGGGTGGATGTTGATGGATGGATGGATCGATGGATGGATGGATGGATGGATGGATGAATGGTCATAATGAATCATGGATGGATGGATGGATGGATGGATGGACAACGAACGGCTGGGCAAGTCGAACGATTGATGGACAGCCGCGGATAAACGGATGGGCACCGCTGGGTGTGGGTGGATGTGAATGGATGGATGGATGGATGAACGAACGAGTATTGGGCAATGGATCGATGAGCATTGGCAATGGATGGACGGATGGACATTTGACGAACGGAACGGTCAGCAACGACTTGACGGATGGACAGCTGCGATTAAACGGACGGCAATCGCTGGGCGTGTGCGGACGGTGACGACGGACGGACGGGCAATGAACGGACGGACGGACGGACGGACGAACGGTCGTGGGCAACGGGATGGACGGACGGACGAACAGGCGGGCAGATTTGACGGCAACCGCTATGTGGGTGACGTGCGACGGACGGCGGACTTGGGTGTGTGGGTGGATGTGGATGGATGGATGGATGGATGGATGGATGGATGGGTAATGAATGGATGGATGGGTGGATGGATGGATGGATGGATGAGTGGCTGCGTAATGAATGGATGGATGGATGGATGGATGGATGGATGGATGGACAGCTGGGTGGGTGGATAAATGGATAGGTACCGTTGGGTGTGTGGGTGGAGGATGGGGGATGGATGATGGGTGGGTGGGTAGATGTATGGATGGATGGTTCCCAGTGGGTGGATGGGTGGGTGATGAGTGAGTGGGTGGATGTTGGGGGCATAGGTGTTTGGGTGGATGGGTGGGTGGGTGGGTGGGGGGCTGTGTGGTGTGTAGATGGTCGAGTTATGGATGGAGCATCTGTGGATGGATGAATAATTCATGGGGGAAAGAGTGGCTGGGAGTGAGTTGGATCTGTGGGTGGGTGAGTGAGACCGTGGATGGCCCTGACTTCATGGAGGACTAGACAGACGCCTCCATGAGGGAGAGCAGGGTGAACCTGGCCGGCCTTGTGCCCACAGCTGCCCATAGTGGCTTCCTCCATCGTATCCCTGTACTTCTTGGAGCTGACCGACCTCTTCAAGCCGGCCAATGTGGGCTTCCAGTGCTATGACCGCACTCTCTCCATGCCCTACGTGGAGACCAACGAGGAGCTCATCCCACTGCTGATGTTACTCAGCTTGGCCTTCGCGGCCCCTGCTGCCTCGGTGAGCACCCACACTGGGGCCTGTGCCAGCCTGTGTGCACCGCAGATGGGAGCCTGCCTGTGCCAGCCTGTGGGCACTGCAGATGGGAGCCCGCCTGAGGGGCCGGCCTATGGGCACCATGGCTGGGAGCCTGCCTGAGCGCCCTCTCCCTGTGGGCACTGCGGCCTGAGCGCTCCCTCCTTGTTGGCAGATCATGGTGGCCGAGGGCATGTTGTACTGTCTGCAGTCCCGGCTGTGGGGCCGCGCTGGGGGGCCCACCGGGGCCGAGGGCAGCATCAATGCCGGTGGCTGCAACTTCAACTCCTTCCTGCGGCGAACCGTGCGGTTTGTGGGTGAGTTGCCGGCCGCGCCCCAACCCTGAGCCGAGTCCACGTGCAGGGCTGGGGCTGTCCCGGGTCCCCAGCTCCCCGCCTGGCCGAGCCTTCCGCCCCGCAGGTGTCCACGTGTTTGGCCTGTGTGCCACAGCCCTGGTGACGGACGTGATCCAGCTGGCCACGGGTTACCACACTCCCTTCTTCCTCACCGTCTGTAAGCCTAACTACACGCTCCTGGGCACGTCCTGCGAGGTCAACCCCTACATCACGCAGGACATCTGCTCCGGGCACGACACCCACGCCATCCTGTCTGCACGGTGAGCCGGACCCCCAACTGCCCTGGCTGGGAGCCTTCTTCCACCCCCGTGTCCCTTCCACCCCCGTGAACATGTGGGGAAAGAGGCACAGCGAGGCCACTGGAGCTGGGGTCCCCAGGTGGGTGGGGCTCACGCTGGACGCCTCTTACAGGAAGACCTTCCCGTCGCAGCACGCCACACTGTCGGCCTTCGCCGCGGTCTACGTGTCGGTGAGTCCAGCCCCCCTCTGCCCTGCTCAGGGCCTCTTGCTGGCCCGCGGGAAGCCCTCCTTGACCCCATCCCCCATGCCCCCAGATGTACTTCAACTCCGTCATCTCGGACACCACCAAGCTGCTGAAACCCATCCTGGTCTTCGCCTTTGCCATCGCCGCGGGCGTGTGCGGGCTCACGCAGATCACGCAGTACCGCAGCCACCCGGTGGACGTGTATGCCGGCTTCCTCATCGGGGCAGGCATCGCTGCCTACTTGGTGAGCGGCAGGTTCTGAGGGGGGTTGGCATGGGTGCCCACGGGGACTGAGTGGGGAGGCTGGCCCAGGGGTTCTGAGGGGGGAGGCAGGCTCAGGGGGTCTGATGGGGGAGGCTGGTGGCCTGAGGGGGGAGGCATGGGTGCCCAGGGGTTCTGAGGGGGAAGGCTGGCCCAGAGGGTGTGAGGAGAGAGGCTGGTGGTCTGAGGGGGGAGGCATGGGTGCCCAGGGGGTCTTAGGGGGAAGGCACTGGTGCTGAAGTGTCTCACCCTTGGAATGCTGGAGTCAGAATCCCGTGGGCTCAGACCTGCCAGATGTGCCGGGTCAGCGACCTTGAGGTGGGAACTGGTCCCACTGGACAAGGGCTTGCCACCCCTCCTCCCCTGGCCCAAAGCCCCCCACGGCAAATCCAACGATTAGAGGGGAGGAGCCATCTGAGCCCCAGGCCTCACCCCCAGACCCCTCTCCCCGCCAGGCCTGCCACGCCGTGGGCAACTTCCAGGCCCCACCTACAGAGAAGCCCGCGGCCCCGGCCCCCGCCAAGGACGCGCTGCGGGCCCTGACCCAGCGGGGCCACGACTCGGTTTATCAGCAGAACAAGTCGGTGAGCACCGACGAGCTGGGGCCCCCGGGACGGCTGGAGGGCGCGCCCCGGCCCGTGGCCCGCGAGAAGACCTCACTGGGCAGCCTGAAGCGCGCCAGCGTGGACGTGGACCTGCTGGCCCCGCGCAGCCCCATGGCCAAGGAGAACATGGTGACCTTCAGCCACACGCTGCCCAGGGCCAGCGCGCCTTCGCTGGACGACCCCGCGCGCCGCCACATGACCATCCACGTGCCACTGGACGCCTCGCGCTCCAAGCAGCTCATCAGCGAGTGGAAGCAGAAAAGCTTGGAGGGCCGCGGCCTGGGGCTGCCCGACGACGCCAGCCCCGGGCACCTGCGCGCACCAGCCGAGCCCATGGCGGAGGAGGAGGAAGAAGAGGAGGAGGAGGAAGAGGAGGAAGAGGAGGAGGAAGAGGACGAGGAGGAGGGCCCGGCCCCGCCCTCGCTCTACCCCACCGTGCAGGCGCGGCCGGGGCTGGGGCCTCGGGTCATCCTCCCGCCGCGCGCGGGGCCGCCGCCGCTGGTGCACATCCCCGAGGAGGGCGCGCAGGTGGGGGCCGGCCTGTCCCCCAAAAGCAGCGCCGGGGTGCGCGCCAAGTGGCTCATGATGGCCGAGAAGAGCGGGGCGGCCGTGGCCAACCCTCCGCGGCTGCTGCAGGTCATCGCCATGTCCAAGGCCCCGGGCGCGCCGGGCCCCAAGGCGGCCGAGACGGCGTCGTCGTCCAGCGCCAGCTCCGACTCCTCGCAGTACCGGTCGCCGTCGGACCGCGACTCCGCCAGCATCGTGACCATCGACGCGCACGCGCCGCACCACCCCGTGGTGCACCTGTCGGCCGGCGGCGCGCCCTGGGAGTGGAAGGCGGCGGGCGGCGGGGCCAAGGCGGAGGCCGACGGCGGCTACGAGCTGGGGGATCTGGCGCGCGGCTTCCGCGGCGGGGCCAAGCCCCCGGGCGTGTCCCCCGGCTCGTCGGTCAGCGACGTGGACCAGGAGGAGCCGCGGTTCGGGGCCGTGGCCACCGTCAACCTGGCCACGGGCGAGGGGCTGCCCCCGCTGGGTGCGGCCGACGGGGCACTGGGCCCGGGCAGCCGGGAGTCCACGCTGCGGCGCCACGCGGGCGGCCTGGGGCTGGCGGAGCGCGAGGCGGAGGCCGAGGCCGAGAGCTACTTCCGCAAAATGCAGGCGCGCCGCTTCCCCGACTAGCGCGGCGGGGCCGGGGGCGGGCGGGCGGGGGACGGGGGTGCTCAATAAAGCGGCGGAAACCCGGCTCAGGCTCTTGGTCATTCGCTCTGGCCCGCATGCCCCACGCACGCGGGGACCCTCCCTCAGCGCCGGGCCCACCCCGCCCGCGGCCCCACCTGGCGCTTCCGCGGAAACCCGGGTACGAGCCGGGACCGCCCAAAGCACAGAAAGAGGAAACAGCAATGAAGGCGGACGGAGCGAGGATACAGAAGATTTATTCGAAGTCCAGGTACAGACCGGCCAACCTGCCTCTACAGCGTCCACAGCGAACACAGGCCTAGACAAGGGAGGAGTTTATCAAACGGTTTTAATCGGTTCTCCGCGTCACAAGCCATCAGGTAAGGCAACGGAATGTGCGTGGGGTCCCTGTGGCTCCACGGTCAATACTGAGCCTGGAATTGCTGTTAGCAAAATATACATCTGTGTCACCATAAAAAACCGCGCCGCCGCCCTCGGGTCTCACAACAGGTATAAAAAATTATAAATATTTACACCCTTGTTACACTCTTCATGGAAAGGGGATCCTAGGAGAGCCCCCGGGACAGGACGCGGGGGCGGGAGACAGCACAGTGAGGACAGGAGCGGCCGCCTGCCGGGTCCCAGCATCAGAGGCAAGCACAACACAGAAATGAGACTTTGGTCCAAAATTTGAAGGAAAAAACCCTGAAGAAGTTTGAAAGCAAGTTTCCTAGGCGACTGCAGGTGAAGGTGTGGTGTAAGGCAACCGGAGGCGATGCCAGAGGCGGCGACGCGCCCGCCCCTTCCCTGAAGCTCAGGGGTCTAAGATCGGACCGGGGCTCCCTGTGCCTGACCCGCTGGGCGGCCCCGCCTGCTCTCTGGAAACCGGGTCCTGCCTGTGACTTAATTACAAGGAATAAAATAAAAGTAACAGCATACAAGGTAATACCACAAGGAAGTTTAGATTACACTCATACCATTGTATCATCTTACTATAAAAAGTTACTTAAAACTATTTCTTTTGCATATAAATGAAAAAAAGATTAGAATATTTGGTCAACTGGAAATATTGCTAGGCACAGACGTCTGCAACTGCAAAGTATATAATACAGAGATTATGACGACCAGCTCCGCAGCTGGAGCAGTGGGGAGCCCGCCTGGGGGCTGCAGGGAAGGCCCTGGGGGCAGGGTGGGGAAATCACATGACTTGATTAGAGGGCTGGGGTTGGGGAGTCGCAGCCACTGGCCGGCGAGCCCCAGGTACATGATCCTGCAGGACTGCAGGAGCCGGCCAGGCCCCCTGCCTTTCTCTGGTGTGAGCCCCGCCCCTTGGGTCCCCAGGACACCCCGGGGGGGGGGGGGGGTGGCTGCAGGAAGGCAGGGATTTTAAGGCACAAGGAAGCCGAGTTGTGGTCAGGGCACCCACCTGCAGGCCCCACCAAGGCACAGCCCAAGGGTCTGGCCCCGGGTGTGGAGGGCTGGGAACTCCCGCTGCCACAGTCACCAAGAGCCTGAGCTGTCCCCGTCACCGCAGGATTAGCAAGGTGAACTAGATTTAATTTTTTTAAAAACAGGTAAACTGATTTCTCTTTAAAAAAATAAAATCTCTGGTCTGTTAAGGTCACTTCAGCTGCTTTTTAAAGTGGCTTTTTTCTGGAATGATGGAAGTTGTCGCCAGCGGGCCCGGCCAAGGGGGCCTGTGCCCCTAGATGGTGGACTTGGAGAAGGAGACCCGCAGGTGGTGGTTCTCCCCGAGGTCATGGTTGTGCAGGTCAATGAGGGCCTGGACCGCCTCCTCCACAGAGCCCATCTGGATCAGTGCCATCTTGCGGTCCTTCCTGCAAGACATAGGGTCAGGGCCGGCCACAGGGTAGCCCGGGGAGAGCCAGGCACCGTCCGCCTCATACTCACTGGAAGAACTTGAATCCTTTGACGACGCCCCCATTGCTGGAGAACAGAACCTTGAGATCCTCTTCGGAGACGGAGGGTCTGTGGGAGGAGAAAGGTGTTGGCCTGGGGCCGGGAAGGGGGACATCTAATGAGATCAGCGAGGCTCTCCCCACACTAGTTTTCTGAGTGGCCAGGGAAGGTGTAGGGCCTTTAAGGAGCCCAGAAATGGGACACTGAATCATGCCCACAATGGTCTGAAGCAGCTTCTAATGAAACCAGGCATCCACAGGTTTGCAGAAGCAGAGTACCACGCTCCTCCCCCCT